AAATGATCTTACACTGATAAATGGAAAATGTGAATTGCCCAACAGTAGGTTCAGGATGAATTCCATTCGTGTGTGTATATTCTCAATGTACTTGTATATTTGAACAAATTTGGAAGGATATTTGCCCATCTGTTGGCAATGGCTACTTTAAAGAAATAGGTTGACAGGGAGAGGCATGAACTTTGTTTCAAATCTGATTTGATCTTTTAAGCTAAAAATGTCTTTAAATGTTTGGAAAAAATAGGAACACTGGTTGGGTTTTGGCTAGGCAGACCAATAATCCCAAAGTAAAGGGAAATTTTAAATGTCTTCCTCTGAAACCTTAAACTCCTCTTCCCACCACAGTAGCTCCCAATCCTCCACATAAGTCTTTCCATGAAACAAGCTCCTAAACACGTTGAATGTATTCATTAAGTTTATAAGTCAACATGCACCTGCTGATTGTGTGCTGTATGCTCTGAGAATCCATTCATCAGAGACAGCATCCTGTCTTTGTGTGGCTTTGGCCAAGTGGCATGTCCTCTTGCCTCTCTCTGCTCTTGTGCAACTTTTCCTGTCTTAGACACTTTTCAAGGTCCACCTTGTCCAACAGATTTTCATTTTCTTCTCCCTCCTCCAAATGATAGTAATTAGATTCATATCCCCTGGGTGTAGATGAACTCAGAGAGTAAGAGGAGCAGGGTTAACAGAACAGTCTGGAGAGGTAGGGAAGGGGAGGGTGGCAGACGGTCATAGCCACCACCTTAAGGAGTTTTGGCTGGACTCTATGAGGGGGGCAATTCTATGCTCCTTATTAGAGGAAGGACAAGACAACCCTCACCTCTTAGAAAGGTCTTGCAGGCCAATAAAAGGGAATAGATTAGAGAGTCTGGGTGTTTCTAGCACTGTGCTTGGCCATTATGTATTTGACTACTTGTGGGCTGATTGCTTATAAGTGAGCACGTTTACATCAGGTTAACATTCTCCTTGGCATCTTCTCCACCCATCTGGCATATTTTCCATTGGTCTCTTTCCCGTCAGCCTTCAAATGGCTCCAGAATTCTCCCCTTCTAAACAAACAAGAAAGACTTAAACATGCACTTTAAGAAAGAGACTATCCAAATTACTATTTTTTTTTTGACAGGCAGAGTGGACAGTGAGAGAGAGAGACAGAGAGAAAGGTCTTCCTTTGCCGTTGGTTCACCCTCAAACGGCCGCCACGGCCGGCACACTGCAGCTGGCGCACCACGCTGATCTGAAGGCAGGAGCCAGGTACTTCTCCTGGTCTCCCATGGGGTGCAGGGCCCAAGCACTTGGGCCATCCTCCACTGCACTCCCTGGCCACAGCAGAGAGCTGGCCTGGAAGAGGGGCAACTGGGACAGAATCCGGCACCCCGACCAGGACTAGAACCCGGTGTGCCGGCACCACTAGGTGGAGGATTAGCCTATTGAGCCATGGCGTCGGCCTATCCAAATTACTATTACAATCATTAAGAGAAAATCAAATCTAGGTCTTAAAAAGAGATTGGAGCTGGTGTTGTGGCATAGCTGGTGAATCCACTGGCATCCCATATGGCAACCAGTTCACGTCCTGGCTGCTTCATTTCCAATCCAGCTCCCTACTAATGCACCTGAGAAAGCAGCAGATGGCCCAAGTTCCTGGGCCCATGCACCCATGTGGGAGACCAGATGATGTGCCTGGCTCATGGTTTTGGGCTGGCCCAACACTGGCCATTGTGGTCATTTGGGGAATGAACCAGCAGATGAAAGATCCATCTCTTTCTCACTCTCTGTCTCTGTAACTCTGACTTTCAATAAAAATGAATAAATTTTTAAAAAGTTTTATATAATTATTTGAAAGGTAGAACAAGGTGGGGAGAGAAGGTGAGGGTGAGGGAAAAGTAGAGGGAAAGGGAGGGTGTGGGAGAAAGCGAGAGAAAGAGAGAGAGAGAGAAATAAATCTTTCATCTGCTGATTCACTCCCCAAATGGCCACAATGGCAGGGACTGGACCAGGCTGAAGTCAAGAGCCTGGAACTCCACACTGGTCTCCTATGTGTGTGACAGAGACCCAAATTCTTGGGTCATCTTCTGCTGTTTTCCTAGGTGCATTAGCAGAGATCTTGACCAGAAGTGGAGCAGTAGGGACTCAAACTGGCACTCTGATATAGAATGCTGGCCCCCAAGTAGGGGGCTTAATCCATCATGCCACAAGGCTGGCCCCAAACTCCATTTTTGCAATAAATGAACTGCAATTCTAAATACTTAGCTTAATGATAAAAATTAGAGTGATAATACCTAAAGTTGTCAAGGATGCGGAGTAACAAGGACACTGATATGCCACTGGTGAGAGTAGAACTTGTTTCTATGGAAAACTGACACCAATTTCTAGTAATTAACATACATTTATACTATGACCCAGCAACTGACATGCATAAGGAAATCCATGACAACATTATTCTTAATAGCCCCAACAGCATTTTAATATGCATACATGAATTGTGGTATAGTCATACATCAGAATACTATACAGCAATGAAGAAAAACAAAACACAGCTATGCCCATGATATAAAATGAAAGAACTTGTATTATGACTGTAATGATATAAGGCCCAAAACAGGCAAGTTCAATTGCAATACTAGAAATCAAGCTACTTGGGGCAGGCATACGTTGCAGTAGGTAGTTGCCACTTGAGATGCCTGCATCTAGTATTAGAGCACCTGCTTCAAGAGCTGGCTACCCTGCTTGTAATTCAGCTTCCTGCTAACGCACAGGCTGGGACACAGCAGGTGGCGGATCAAGTACTTGGATCTCTGCCACTCACGTGGGAGACATGGATTGCATTCCTTCCTCCTCGATGTGACTAGGCCCAGCCCTAGCTGTTGCAAGCATCTGGGGAGTGAACCAGTGGGTGGAAGAGCTCTTTTTTTTCTCTCTCTTCCTTTAAAAAAATGACAATAATTTTTTAAAGTGTATTAAAAAAGAGAAATCAAGGTATTGGTTACTTTTGGTGAGCAGGGTGAATATGGAAGTTGGGAAGGGGCTTGGACAAGGAACACAGTGGGGCTGCTCAGGAACTTCTGTGTCTTTCTTAAGATTTATTTATTTATTTGAAACAGTTAGAGAGAGAGGAAGAGAGACAGAGAGAGATCTTCCATCTGCTGATTTACTCTGCAAATGGCCCCACTAGCCAGGGCTGGGCCAGGCCAAAGCCGGGAGACAGGAGATTCATCCAGTCTCCCATGTGGGTGCAGGGGCCCAAGGAGTTGGGCCTCCGTCCACTGCTTTACCCAGGTGGATTAGCTGGGAGTGGGATGGGAAGTAGAGCAGCCAGGGCTTAAACTGGCCCCCATATGGGATGCCAGTGTCACAGGTGGTGGCTTTACCTGCTCTGTCACAATGCTGTCCCTGTGGGCCTTTTGTCTCTTGATCTGTAGCTGTCCCACAAGTAGGTTCACTTTTTGATCAGTCACTGAGCTGATTGAGCTCAGCTCAGGCTTTGCATACTTTTCTGAAAGTACATTATATTTCAATTCAAAGGCATTAAAAAGGAAAACAGAAAGCTCCAGATACCAACAACAGTCTTCCCAGCTTTGCACTTGGGGCAAGGCTAAGTGGGGGTCTGACCCTGGTCAGGGCTTCTCTCTCTGAGCTCTCCTGATGTCATTTCCTTCCTTCTTCAAGAGCTGCCACACCAGGGCATGCTGTTTAACAGGATGCTCAGTGGGAGGCAGTGGTGACTTCTCTTTCGGAAGGGATTATTTTTTGAAGTTCGTTTTGCAGATACAGTCTTTTCTCACTTGGTTCTCTTTATGCCTCTAGGATCCAGCCCTCTGGTTTGCTATCTATCTCCATCAGTCTGTCTCCTCCAGGGCTCCTGCACGTTTTCCTCCTTCCCTCAACTCTTAGACACTGGGCAGATGCTCCCTCTCCACTTTGCCTACTATTTAATAGATTGTAATCATTGCAAGAAATATGCTTTCATTTTGCAATTCAAAAATATACCAAAAATATTTTTTAAAGATCCTGACGTTGCCACTCTGATTTAACTCCAAGCTATGAAACAACATATTTTTCTTACCTGAATGATTTAGCCCCACCATTTGTGTTACTAGTTCTGTGCTAGTATCTCTGGGTTAATGCTTCTGCATGGGGCTTGGCCACCACTGGGCAAGTTAGCTTAAACTTTGACCTTAATTTCTTCATTTACAATGGAGATAATAATAATCTTCTCTGCTTACGGTTGTGTGAGATTTAAATGAGGAAATACAGACAGAACACCTAGCATAAAATAGTTGCTTAATAAATGGCAGTTCTGCTTTAAACTCACTAAACACAGTTGAGTTGCACTTGCAACTCCAGGATTAAACCCAGTGGGACACACTCTCTAGAGGGGTGGATTTTTTTGGACAACTGGTGACCATTTTCCCGGGTTCTGTTGGAAAAGTAGTCTCCAGCAGCACCAAAGGAAGGTCACCATGGGTTACTGAGAGATACACACAAAGCAGGCGAGGCTGCAAGATGTCCTATTTCTTATAAGCCTAGGTGATTACCCAGCCAACAGTGACTGGGGACGGAGCGGAGTCCTCCATAGCTTAGAGAATCTTGTAAAATGCTTTAACAAATATATAAGAATCATATATAATTGGCACACACTTTGTTTGAATGCAAACACTGCTGTTAAAGTGGTGCTTAAAAACAGTTTGTTGGCCTTCTCTTCGTACAGGAGAAACATTTCTCTCGTTTACACTACTCACTTGCTTAGCAAACCCTTATTTATCCTATAAGGCAAGCATAATCTGCCCAACATGTCCAAATGCCCACAGATTCTGAATGAGTGAAGTCGGAATTCAGGGAATTTCAGGCAGAACCCATCCTTGTTTGACAGCGACCACTCTGACAGCTCAAAGAACCCTCCCAGACAATGCCCCCCACCCAGCCCTCCATTCTCCTACCTCTTCTGGCTTCTGTATTTCAGTTCTGGCTTTTGAAGGAGACAGAAGAAAACAGACTCAGATGGGTATTCTTAGGACATTTGAACTGTTGTTTATTGAGGAGCCACAGTTTTCCACACTTTCATAACTGTAGGCTTTATATAAGGCAAAAGCAAGATGGATCCACGACTTTACACAGAAAAGAACTAGCTCTGCATCTGACCCCAGGGTCGTGCAGTGACAGATCAAAATGCAATGTACATGACAGATATAAAAAACAGTGTGGACCAAAATAATTTAAATTATGGTTACAGTCTACTGAAGGAAATATCCGTATCTTATTATAAACACATTTATAGTCTAGGATTGTAATTTAAATATTCCATTTTTTAACATACACAGTTATTGAAACATAAAAGCAAAATGAAACATTAAATAGGATAAACTTTGACAGAAGACAGTTGCTCAGAACTGTGCTTGATGTTAGGCCACGATAGGATCGCTCCCTTCCCGTGGCAATTAGGAGAACCAATCCACTGGTACATAGTCTTCGTGGCTAACTAAATAGAGAAGTCAAAGGATGGATTAACAAGGACACAAGGGGTCCATTTTTTAATTTTAAGGGAACAGAAAGAACTAAAAGTTTGCTGCCGGAGCCTTGCCTTTTTTTTTTTTTTTCCAAAACACAAAGCAAATCTATGTGCCTTAATGACTTTACTTATGTACTCATTGAAATAACTCATCCACAGACGGGAAGCAAAGAAGTGCCTGGTGTCCTCATCCTCAGATCCACTGACCATCAGTGCACACGAGGTATATGAATGAAGCTTCAACTGCTGATAACAGGGACACACCTAGCAGCTGGCCTATGTATTCTCCAGGAACAGTATTTAAAGAATGGTGCTTCATATTGCTTGTAAACATAGAGACACGGAATCAGGAACTCAGGGAGTCAAAGGTCATTTGCTACTCTTGGGACCACATAGCTAAGATGACAATTGTATTGGTGAATGCTTCATGGTCATGAGAGTTGACAGAAAATTCCCTAATGGGGTTAGCTAACAGACTAAGGACATGCATTGATTACAGGACTCTATTCTCGTGGACTGTGGGACCGACGGGCTAATCGTCTTCTTCGTCTTCCTCATCGCTGTCCTTCATGCTGATCCCCTGCAGGCCTCCACCCTCGCTCACTGATGCGGTGGCTTCCTCCACAGTGAGACGGTTCCGGATGGTTTCGTAGGTCTTGCTGTTTAAGGTGGAGTCCAGGACCCCTTGCAACCGGAAGTCTCTATAGGTTTTCTAAGGAGGGAAAAGATGGCAGTGGTAAGGGAGTTCTTGTGTCCATGCAGGGAGAGAAGGGGCACAAAGCAGGTGAGGGCGTAAGAGCTTGGACTCGAGGCAGAGTGTCACACGCCATGCATTGTGACACGTGAGCCACCACGCTCAGATTTCACTCGTACTAAAAGCCGAGATTCATTGAATGACAGAAAATGAGAAATCGTGACAGGATAAACTGTATTAGATGAGACAAAGCAAAGAACATAAGCTTGTGTTTATTCAGTTCCACAAAGGGAAATGTTCCATAATTGTTTTGGTTCCTTTTTTGGGGGGTCTGTTTTTTCTCGCTTAGGTTAGTATAATATAAAATGATAGACAGTGAAAGGGGCTATAATTTATAAATAATGGATCAAGTGATGATGGTATTTTGTGATTTCTATTACAGTCTGGCCTTTAGTATTTTTGCATCTCGTTAATTGCATGAGCCACATCCCCCCCGTCTCATGCACAAGATAGACATATGTATGTTGGTATATGAGACCCATTACGGGCAGCAACAATTATGGGAAAGATGTTGCGCTAATGCCTCATCAATATGTTGCAGGCATGTGACTCATTTCTCATCTCCTTGGGAAAGAACTGTATCTATTCCGTTCACAACTTCATGCTCTCAGGGAAGAAATTTGGCTCTTTTTCAAGAACAATGGTTTGGTATTACTATACCACAAGTTCTTTCTTTGTTCCTTCGGGCGATTTCTCTCAGATTTCCGTAGGTATCCCAAGGACTGTTTTTCTAGAAATCCCTTCGTGTTAATTGAACATGACCAGAAGCATCTGGCTGTTGTCTACTTCCTAGTTCTTTTTTTTTTTTATACAAAGGTCTCTATCTACAACTCTTCTCATCACACTGCATATCATTTCAGCTACTGCTTCTGCTGTTTTCTTACTGATAGGAGAAATTTGCTAACGGAGCAAGAGAGGGAATAGTAACATACTTTCATGCCAGTCCCCCTTTTATTTGTTTCTAATAATGCACCAAATGCAGTCATAGTGTTAACGATCACAGGGTCAGCTCCTTGCGAAGGCTGCATGTTATAATGACAGTAGCCTTAAATGCCGAATGCAGTCTGATTAGTGATGATCCGGCATGTAAGACTGTGGATGGGATGACCACATGTCCCCTCTCCCCAGTTTATGCTGTCTGTCCCCACCCACGTGGTTATTCACAAAGCCTCCTTTCCCTCTTCAAAGTAACCTGGTTTAGACACTGAATTGTAAGCTCAGCCCAAATTAGGGGTCTAGCTGCAAGCTTTTCCGAGGAGGAAGAAGATGCTACGAGGCTACCTGAACTGGTGTCACCTGGACAGGGAAAGGGAAGGGGCTGGGTAAACACTAGGCATAGCAGAGATCGCAGTCTGGACCACTAACTTGCATTTTTGTCCGCTTTTCAGTTACTGATTCTGTTGCCTCTTAGAATTAGGTAATCATTGCTGGAATACGATGGCACAAAGAGTGGTAACAAGTACTGGAGAATTCTCCCCTTCATTTACATTCCAGAGCAGTGTGTGTCCCCACAAGACTCTCAGAGTCCTAGGGCGGGGACCATATCTGGTCATTTTTGAATCTGCTACTTGGTCACAAATAAGTAGAGGGGCTCACCTAATATTTTCTCTGTGTTGGGTGGATGAACAAATGCTGGCTGAATAATGAATGAGTGAATGCCAATTATCTCTGGAAACGTGCCGTGGAAAAGGAGACTTCTGAGTTAAGTTGTTGGTAAAGAGGAGGTGAATTCTGCTTCGTTCCTCTGTGTTGTGCTGTTGATTTGGCCGGGCTGGCTTTTAGTAAAAGTGAAGGGGTTCATTTGGAAGTGGCATTTCTGTGTCCCCTCTTTGTGGTTCACATTTGTGTTTTTTTTTTTTTTTCATTTTTGTTGTCCCCTGCCCCCCGCCCCCCCCCCCCAGCTTTTGGCAGAAGCCTAAGATTAAATCATCTCGCTGACTTTTTTCTTAAAAAAAAAAAAAAAGTAATGCTATTCACAACATAGATCTGGAAATAGCAGTAATGAGAAGATAATTTGGAAATATTAAAATTATGTCTTCTTTTCGTGTCTTCTCAGTAAGGATCAAACAGAGAATTTCCCCCAAAGCATATGCCTACCCAGAAAAGTGGGATTCAAGTTGTCAGGCCATGGCTAGTGAGCTTGCTTGAGGAACCAAAGTAAAAAAAAAAAAAAACCCTGAAAATTCCATGGAGCCCCTGTTTGAGTACATATGTTTCCTTTTTGAGAGCTGCAGCAGGCTGCTGTCTGTAACCCTCCCTGGGCAGACGTATTGTGAGATCAAATGCAGATGATAATAATTCTCCTTAATTACACACGACGGAACAGTAATTGGTTTTAAGTTAGCACCGGGGTAGAGGAGCACCTTGAGAGAAACAGTGCTAATCCAAGAGAAACTAAATCAGAGTGGGTGGGGGGGTGGCTGGAGTGGTTGTGGGGGAGAGTTTTGGCAAAGTGCTAAAAAATAGCAATTCAGCTCTGTTTATTAAAATATTTTAAAGGAGGCTTTGTGCCCGCACTGAGATTTTTTTTTTTTTTGGCCCACAAATATTTTAAAATCCTCTATGGTGAAGCATCAAATGGAAACTGAAATGATCAAAAACGTATTTACCCCCTTCTGTGATCTTATTATTTCATGTAAACCACTCAGATTTCACACTGAAATAATTATCGTGAGTCCAAGGCACACACACAAGCACAGGGAAAAAAGGTACTTTCAGGGTATGTTATGTCACCTTTGTGATCCTTTGATTGTATACACGCATTGTGAGAGCAAATACTTCAATCAACCATGAGGACAATATAGACTTGCATCCTGACAATGATCACAGGACACACTTAGAAATAGCTGGAGGTAAATATTTCTATGAAATTAATGGTGGCAGAATTTGATTTAATTAAGCCATACGTGAAATTGGTAGCTGATGTGATGAGAATCACGGCACCAAAAGCCAGCTTCTCAATGTCTAACGCAAGGGGTGTGATGGCCTCTGTGTTTTTTTTGCACAACAAATACATAAGGTATGTTTCCAACCCGGATCGTGGTACCCATTTGCTTTTCATTAAATTTTCCTTTGATGCTGGAGTAATAAATTTACCACGCATCGCGAAATGATTTCATAGGTTTTCTTGTATGAGATACTCTTTTAGAGATCATCTTGTTTGATACACAAACCAATATTTATGTTCAGGAAGTTCTGCAGCTTGCCAATGAAATGCCTTTCAGTAAGCTATTTGCACAGAATAATAATTCTATTTTCTTTTACCTTCACCATCCTAATTAGTGTTTTCAACTGATAAATGTGAAGCTGTAAGTCCATCCGATCCGTCAACCAGGTGCAGATCACGTTCATGGAGCTGTTGTACCATTGCTGAAAAAAGAGACAAAAGTTCTCCAGCCAACACATCATGGAGCGTTAGTAGGGCAGAGAGGGAAGAGGCCTTCTGCATTGTGAGAGGACACAAAACAGTTAAAGAGAACCGGAGGGCACAGAGATCAAGGGACATTAACGCACACACAATCTCAGGGACTGCATTAGTCTAAAAGAGATCCGTTTGGACTTTAAATCTAACAGAGACCTTGTCCACTAGATCATTCTGTACCCAGTCAATCCGTGGAGACCATCTCTTGCTCTTCTGATTCTTTCTTGTAGTTGGTTCATCTGCTCTTGAATTTGAGATTCAACATAGTGCTGATTTCCTAACACCGTTGTCTCTCGTGCCCAGGGAGATGGGGACTTTTCCATCAATGTAAATGATGTCCCAAGCCACTTACCTCATGAGAGCTCCAGACCTGGTCTACTAAGCACAGTTCTGGGAATCAGGTTGAACCCTTAGGAATTTAGGGGGAAGTTTACCTTCATTTACCCACTGGGGACATTCCTGATAAAGATAGGGAGTGCAGGTTTCTCTTTAATGGCCAAACGTCTTCGGGCAGCGCATGTGTCCTTACGTTGGCTGTGCAATCTGTTTTAATCTTAACACCAAAAAATTATCGGCGATGAGAGAAAAAAAAACCATCTACAAATGAGCTCATTTCAAGCTGTTGAAATCATACTTTCCCTTAAGGGGGTTAAAATTTGCTTCTTGTCTGTGAAAAATGCTTGAAGCTGTGTCACTGTAGACTGCCACCCCTGTGGTGCAGGAAGTCTCTGGTGCAGTATAATTTTTCAGTACTGCTCATATATTCATAAATCTCACTCGGAGACATATGAACAGTGTTATGAAGTGTCAGTATGAAAAAAAAAATCTAATCTTTTAAACTTCACCAGGTTTCATTACGCTCTGCCGCGTATATCAAACAATTTACAAATAAAATGAAAAGGTGTGGATGGACCTATATATTTATTTATAGGGCCTCTATATGAACTGTGCACAGAAAAGATGCCAAAAAAAAAAGAGTGGTTAGAGAATTGAAATGATGCATCCTCTCATGCTAACCAATACACACACGCACACATGCACACACGCGCACACACACATAGCACACCAGTGGGGATTTGAAAAGCATAAATAAAAACATGTTTCTGATGGTGACTCCACCCTTTCTCACCTAAAGATCATCCAAAATCAGTTTATGCCTAACACTCACAGTTTTTCTGAAGCCTTGTTTCTGACTTAATTTCTTATAAAAAAAATTAATTTGGGTTTTTACTTGCAAGGTAGAACTGCCAAGTTCCACCTTGCAAGAAACGACACAGTCTCAGCCATGGCGTGCAGAAGCCCTCCTTTGCAATCTCTCATTTTGAGGCTCCTTCCCCAGCAGAGCCAACTGTGGCTCTCCTTGGAGCCCAGCCGCAACAGAGACCACACTACCCTAGTCGAGGCAGCACTGCAGCCTCACAGCCAACTTCTGCTCTTTTAAAGATCAGGGAGGCGAAACTGTCAGTTTTAGGAACCTTCTGTCCCTCCCCAGGGAGCAGGCGGGGTTGGGGGTAGGGATTTTTTTTTTTCCCTTGAGATTTGCACTTCGCTCCCTGAAGGGAGGGTATGTGTAGGGGTCAAATCGCCTCAGGCATGGACAGGTTTTCCCCTCTAGGGGTGAGAACATTTTATTGAAAATTATTATTTTTTTGGGTAGTGGTTGTTGGTGGGGGGAATGTTGTGGTTTTGGCACCTGCTGCCTTGGGATTCTGGAGCTTTTACTGCCACTGCATCTGGGTTTGTTCTCAAGGGGTTCAGGGCCAGGAATATCCCAGGGTCCCTGGTATTTCTGCAGCTCTACCTCATTCTTGGCAACTGGGAACCCTCTGTGCTCACCCCAGGCCTTGAATCCCACATTTACTGGCTGTATCTCATCTGCAATCTGGGGACTCAAAAACCTATCTTGAGATCCATGAGCAACCGCCCCTTGCCACTGGCCTTTAGGGGTTGGAGGATGACCTTCAAGCAACCCTGGTACCCTCCTGGCCAAACCCAGAAGCCCAGAGCCTCAGGATGGGTACATCTCAGGGACACAAAAGAGGAATGGGGCACTCTGGCTTCTAGGCAGAGGTGGCATTTTGCTTTGGCTGTGACAACAGGCAAACCGGCGCTGGCTTCTATCACTGCCAGCAAGCCTTGTGCAACATGCCTTTTTCTCTCTGCTGAGAGACGTGCCACCTTTCAGGAAAAAAAAAAAAGCACCTCCCCCCTTCATTATATGTAAGCATTTCCCATACTTGTAAATGGATTTTGGATAGTGAATAAAAATAAAAATAAAAATAAAAAGGTGGAATGCTATCAACACTTTTCTTGTGCTGCTGAAGGGGGGGCTGGGTAGGAAATGCATACAGCAATGGATCAGTGCATCGCATACAGATTCCCACCCCAGGAGAACAAGAAAACCCTGGAACATCCATGCTTTTCCTCCTGGATCTCACATCTAGCAAAAGAAGTGTAAAAAATGTATGATGCCCCATTGGCTACACATTTAAAGAGGCAAAAGGGAGTAAGTCGCTCCTTTCCAAACCTTATGCTCAGTAGATGAAATTGGAGGCACTCTTGGATGCAGCACAGCACTAACTTGGTTTTGCAGAAAGGCACTTAAAGGCATTTGGATGTCAGAGACAGCAGGAGACACTGCCTTCTAGAACTTTAAAGTGTGAGAGGTGAGAGGGATCTTCCACATCCTCCTTGGTGGAGGTGGAAGTAAGGGAACTCTGAGAGGTGGAGGCCTTTCCCCAGGTCACACAGTGAGTCCAGAGGGGCAGCTCTCCAGGACAGCCCCTGGGGTGGATTAGCTCATTGTCTGCCATTGCTGCTCCCTATGGGGATACAGTGGTGTGCTGGGCAGGAGAGTGGACCTTGGAAAGCTCTTCCTAACTATACATTCAGGGCTGTCAGACCGATAGAAACAGGCCATAGTGGGTTTATTTTATGCCATGGAACTTGGCGAATGCCACCCGCCAGGGCTTTTTCCCTCCCAGAAAGCTGTCTTTAGACATCGATCAACACGTTACAGCATGTCTGGGTTGTTCCTGCTCTTGCTCGTGGTGCTCACTGCGCTTATTAATCAGGTTTGCTTCACTTGAGACGGATGCTAATGCAGCAGATTTGTTGTGATTCTTCAAAAGAGGAAATTAATAAAACATTTTAACTTCTCCCATTTTGTTTTCTCTTTGGTTCAGATATGCCATTTCCAGAGCTCTCCTAACACCTGGGCATTACATTTTTGGGAACATGTACTCTAAATCTGTAGAAATAAGAACTGTGGTCTGTCGATAGATACACTCAGTGTTTAAGTATAGTCAGGATTACTTGGCTCAATCTCTTTAACTCAGGTATATTAATTTAAAACTTCGTTTTCTTCTAAAGATGCATTAAAGAAATGACATCCTCAGTAGCCTGGGCTCTTTTAAAATATGCCCTTTGGAGAGAGTTCTGTGAAGATCTTGGACTTGGGACCCAAAAGGACGCCCATCCCAGCTATGGGCAGCGGGATGAGGGCTGAGGACTTCTCTAGCATCCACAAAAGGATCTGAGGTTCTGTTGCAAAGCAGCCAGAAGGCTGGTCTCAAACTTTGCCATTTAGTTCCTTCTGCTCTCTGTCCACGATGTAGTGGTTGAAAACACAGGCCCTAAGACATACCTGAGTTTGTGACCTGGGGCAAGTTACTTACATTCTCACAGACTCAGTTTCTTGATCAGAAAATGGGGATTAATCAACCTTTCAGAGGCTATCTCAAAGGCTTTTTTGGGTGAGTAAATGAAATAATGCTAGCAAAGCATCCATCAGAATACTTGGCACGTAACAAGTGCTCAACAGCTGTTAACCACCTGCACCATCATTACCACTGCCATCACCTCTGTTGCTGCAACCATACCACTGCTGCTGCACCACCTCCCCCCACTCCACCACCATCCATCTTCTTTTCTTTTTTTCTTTTATCCCTCTCTCTCTCTCTTTCTCTCTCTCTCTCTCTCTCCTTCTCTATCTTTCTCCAAAAGAACAAGAGAGGAAGGAGATCAAGTTACCAAGGAAAGCCAAGTGGTAGTGGAGGAAACTGTCTCTATTGGCATCTCTTTGGAATTGTATGCACAAGTCTTAGAGGACATAGAACCAGCTCTTTATTTTAAAAATTAATTTGAAAGAGAAAGAGGGAAAAGCAGAGAGAGAGAGAGAGAAAGAGAGAGAGTGAGCGAGCGAGCTCAATACTATCCACTGGCTCACTCACTCACCAAATGTCCACAATAGCCAGGACTGGATCAGACCAAAACTAGGAATAGGAGACTCAATCCAGGTCTCCCAAGCATGTGGCAGGGATCCAATTATTTGAGCCATTTCCTGCTGCTTCCAAACATGCACATTAGCCAAGAGCTGGAATCAGGAACAGAGCTGGGACTTGAATCTAGGAACTCCAATGTGGGATGCAGGCATCCCCACAAAAAGAGTAATCACTAGGCCAAATACCCTCTTAGCAATGTAATTACACCTACTAGTCATTCCATGGTAGGTTGTCTCCCAGACCTATAAAATCACCTTGGGTATATAAAGCACATTTTAAACTACATAGACTTAGATTTGGATAATCCTTAAATAGCAATCTAGAGCATTGCTACAGTGACTGCAAGTGCAGTCATGCCATCATGACCTCTACATTTACTAAATGTAATTACCAACCTCCAACCCCAACATCTTGATGTTAATTTGATATCCTAGAGATACTACTGTTAATGGTACATTTTGTTTTCAGAACAAGCCAGTGTCATGTGTGAGTGGCAATGAAAAGGAATATAAGCAAAAAAGAGAACCATTCACCAGTATTTCCACATTCACTGATCACAAAGGTGATTTATCCCCTTAACTTATTCAAACCCCATCAGATCAGACCTTCTGTATGATTGTACAGTCTACTGTTTTCAACAAAGTGATTATTATTTTATACAATAT